GTTTAAATATTACAGAAAACAAAGCAATTAGATTAGTTACGTTCGCTCAATAAATGTAACATACTCAATGAAATAACTAACAACTTTATAAATTACAGAGTAGCTAAAATTATAAAAAAATGGGAAGAGAATTAGAGTTAAACTTAATCGTTCCTCTTTAAGTTCACCTGTTCCTAGAAGAACGTCACTGGGTCAATGTGCCGAAACCTGGTACTTGAAGATAAAACACATGGATAGCAGTGATGTTTAGAGCAGGTCACTGACAGATATGGCCATGTGTTTTAGTTTCGAGTGTCAGGCTTCGGCACATTGACCTACTGAAATTCTTTTAGGAGCAGGTGAACTTAAAGACGGACGACTAATTTCAACTCTAATTCTTTTCCCATTTTTTATGCTTTACCTACCGTGTAATTTATAAAGTTGTTAGTTATCTCATTGAATATGTTGCATTTATTCAGTGAACATAACAAACGACTAATTTCTTTCTTTTCTGTGATATTTAATAAATTTCTTAGTTACTCTTGCATGTAAGTTTTGTTTTGTGGCGGCCGGGAGATCGGCAGGAAACGGTTTCGTGTTAAATTGTCCTGCCGATCTTCTAGGTAAACGCGGAGACATAAAAACACTCGAGCGAAGAACTCGTGTTCGGTTACGCGTCAAAAAAGTTGTTGTCATTCTGAAAAAGAAAGAGAGTAGGGAGGACGCGGTTCGGCGGAACAAGTCCGAGCAGGTTAGTTAGCTCGGGACGCTCCGAACATTAACACCGTTGAAACGATTAAACGAATAAAGTTATTTCTTGTTATTTTAACTCTCGTCAGTTAATCAACCTATTCCCGAGTCGCGTTGCATCCAAATTGGTGACCCCGACGTGATCTTAAAAACGGGATAGCGCGAAAACGGGAAGTTTTAAGTAAAAAAGGGGAAAGAAAACAATTTGAAACAATGAGTGACGACGGTGATCAAGCCAAGGATGAAACATCAGTGGTCACGAGCGGAGTGAGTGCCGCGACTTTGCGAGTGCCAAAGTTTTGCCGAATGAGAACGAGACTGTGGTTCAACAGCTTGGAAGCTCAGTTCGTGTTAAACAAAATAACGCGAGACGAGACAAAGTTCTCGTATGTCATCGGCCAGCTCGACGAAAAGTACATGGAGGAAGTCGAGGACATAATCACCGACCCTCCGGAGCAAGGGAAGTATGAAAAGCTGAAGACGGAGCTGATCAAGCGCCTCTCCGACGCGGATGGCACGAGGGTGCGAAAATTGATCGAAAGCGAGGAGATAGGAGACCGCACGCCGTCTCAATTCTGGCGCCATTTGAAGAACTTGTCTGGAAACGCAGTCAATAACGAGTTCCTAATGCAGATGTGGAAGAATCGTCTGCTTGAAAAGGTGCAGCTAGTGCTCGCTAGCATCCTCAACCTGGAACCAACACAATTGGCGGAAGTGGCTGATCGGGCGTACGATATCTCGTTCGATAGAGGCAGCATCTCGGCAGTGACTTCTAAACCGAGCGCGGAAGCTGTCAACGAGCAAATTAAGCAACTTGAACGGCGAATGGCGGACATGGCGAGCGACATTCGCATGCTTAAAAAAGCCATGTACAATCGCGGAAGAAGCAGCTCGAGAGGCGGCTCGCGAAGCCGTTCAAGAGGCGGAACACGGAGCAACGGCAAGAGCCGCGAGCAGGGTGACTCCAATCAGCAGGTATGTTGGTACCACCAAACTTTCGCGGAGAAGTCGACCCGGTGCAAATCACCTTGCAGCTGGAAGACGGAAAACGGTCAGGACCGTCAGTAAACGCGGCGTCACGTGATGGTCCAAAAGCAGGCCGCATATTCATCACCGACAAGAGATCCAAGATCGTTTTCCTCATCGACACAGGAGCCGATTTGTGCGTGTTTCCGCGATCGCGAGTGCGAGGACGTATACCGAAGAGTCGCTATGAACTTTTCGCAGCAAACGGCACGCGTATCGCAACGTACGGCACGGAAGTGATGAAACTAAACTTATCCCTCCGACGCGAATTTCCGTGGCGGTTCGTAATAGCCGACATCGACACGCCAATTATCGGTATGGATTTTCTAGCACACTACAACTTGTTAGTTGATCCCCGTAATCGCAAGCTCATTGATGCGAACACGAAACTGGGCGCGTTCGGCCGTTTAGCACGCGAGGATGAAAAAACGGATTCGGTGAAAACAATCGCCGGAGACTCGGTGTTCCACCAACTCCTCGCCAAGTACCCGGACTTAACGCGACCACCAGTGTTCAAGCGCGAAACAGTGAAGCATCGTGTGTAATACCTCATAAAAACGACGCCTGGACCGCCTGTACATAACAAACCCCGTCGGCTCGCCCCGGATCGCTTAAAAATGGCAAAGGCCGAAATTGAACTCTTGCTGAGCCAGGGCATTGTACGCCCCTCCAAGAGTCCATGGGCTTCTCCATTACACCTGGCCGACAAAAAGGATGGCAGCAAACGACCCTGCGGAGACTACCGAGGACTAAATGCGCGAACCGAGCCTGACAGATACTCACCGCCGAACATCGAGGATTCTACGCAGCATCTAGAAGGGAAGAAAATATTCTCCAAGATCGATCTGGTAAAAGCTTTTAATCAAATTCCGGTCGCGGAGGAAGATATACCGAAAACAGCTATAACTACGCCTTTTGGTTTGTTCGAGTACCTTTTTATGCCCTTCGGTTTGCGAAACGCAGGACAAACGTGCCAACGTTTCGTGGACAAAATGATTCGCGGATTTGATTTTGTGATAGCTTACATCGATGATTTCCTTATAGCCTCGGACGACGAGAAAGATCATCTCGAATATTTGAAGCAGCTTTTTGAACGAATGAACCAATATGGCGTAGTTATAAACCCGGCGAAATGCGTTTTTGGCGTGAGAGAAATAACGTTCCTAGGCTACCTTATAAACAGCGAGGGTGTAAGGCCGGTCCCCGAGCGCGTAGAACCAATCGCGAATTATCCTAAGCCGATCATGATAAAGCAATTGAGGAGATTTTTAGGGATGATAAATTTCTACCGTCGTTTTATACCTGGGGCCGCGGACATACTGCAACCACTCAACGACCTATTAAAAGGGTCGAAAAAGGCAACGCACCCGTTCCGTGGACAGAAGCAGCGGAAGGAGCTTTCAGTAAAACGAAGGACAGCCTAGCGAAAGCGTCTTTATTAGCCCACCCCGTACCTGGCGCGCCTCTTAATATAACAGTCGAAGCGTCGGACTACGCGATCGGAGGCGTGGTACAGCAGCTCGTAAACGAAGTGTGGCAACCTCTGTCATTTTTCACGAGGTCTCTTTCCGCCGCACAACGAAAATATAGCGCGTACGACCGCGAACTGTTAGCTATGTATGCGGCTGTGAAGAAGTTCAAACACCATATCGACGGTCGAAATTTCGTAATATATACGGACCACAGACCTTTAACTTTCGTATTTAAATAAAACCTCGAAAAATGCTCGCCACGACAATTTCGCCATCTTGACTATATCGGCCAGTACACAACCGATATAAGACATGTAAAAGGCAAGAACAATGAAGTGGCCGACGCGCTGTCGAGGATTGAGGCAGTCTCACGAGCGCCAGACCATCAGGCACTCGAGGCAGCTCAAAACCTAGATCCAGAACTAATTGAAATTTTACAATCTAATAATAGTAGCTTAAAACTAAAAAAGATTAATTTTCCTGGATTTGAAGTCCGTCTATATTGTGACACGTCGAACGATTCAGTAAGACCGTATGTTCCGGCACGTTTGAGGCGTTCCATTTTTAATTCTCTGCACGGGTTCTCCCACCCGGGAGTCAGAGCAACACAGAAATTAATTACGGAACGTTTCGTGTGGCCGTCGATAAACAAAGATTCCCGCACATGGGCACGCCAATGTATTCCGTGCCAGCGATCCAAAATCACGCGACACGTAGCAGCCCCGATCGGAAATTTTGATAGCCCAAATAGCCGGTTCGAACACATACACATAGAACTCGTAGGACCGATATCTTGCTCGCAAGGTTTCAAATACGTCTTAACAGCTATAGATAGGTTCTCGCGGTGGCCTGAAGCAGTGCCGTTGAAAGAAATAGATGCGGAAACAGTGGCAAAAGCTCTAATGGGTGCCTGGATCTCTCGTTTTGGCATTCCATTAAGAATAACGACAGATCAAGGTCGTCAGTTCGAGTCCCAGTTATTTAAGGAGCTTACCCG